TGGTCCCGCCGCGCCTGGTGTTGGGGCGCGCAGCCGCGGGGCTCCGGGCTCGGGGACAGGGATCGGGAGAGACTCTCCTGTCCCACGACGCAGTGGCTCTGGGCTGCCCCCAGAGTGAGTCCGGCTGGGAGGAGAACAGAGCTGGGCAGTCGCTGGCAGGAGTGCAGGGGACGAAACTGAGGCCGGGAGGGGCAGGCCGGCTGCACTTGCCCTGGGGGTGGGGGCAGCCAGGGGCCGCCAGGCGTGTGGGGTCTTCAAGAGGAGGAGAAGGGGATTCCGGAGGGGAGCCCATCAGCTCTCATAGCCAGGGGCCGCCAGGCGTGTGGGGTCTTCAAGAGGAGAAGGGGATTCCGGAGTGGAGCCCATCAGCTCTCATGGGCCCAGGAGCCCTGCGGATTCATCATCCCTTGCTGGTTCTGCCTGCCCACCCAGCCCCCACAGAGGCGGGAATGAGAGGAAGGGCCCGCGGAGGACCCCCCGCCGATGGCCGGGCGTGTTGGCTGGACCCTCTCTGGACTCAGTACATTTGAGGGATGACCTCCAGGCATGAGCCGCCTCCTAGGGGAACCGAGAGGGAAGAGGGATGTGTTCTTGAACCCCCCACCCCACTCCCAGACTCTCAGCTCTGCTTCTGATGGCAAGACTTGCCCCTCCCCCTGTGCTTCCCCCTGGGCCCACCTGCCTGTGGGAGAGCCTCCCTGGGGAGGGTGGGGCACAGCCCTCTCATGGGAGACCAATAGAACACGTGTTCCTGCGGGGGGGCAGGGGGGAATGCTGCCCACTCAGCCAGCCCCTACCATCTGCCCACCTGCCTTCACACTGGCCCTCAGGTGCCTCTGAGTGCCCTACACACACACACCACACACTCACACTCACAGCTGCCTCCCTGCTCCATCAAGGAGTAGGCAGGGACTGCCCCTACCCTCCCTAGCAGCCTGGGTTCCTTGGGAACCCAGTTGTCACCCCGTGAGCATTGGACCACAGCCAGCCATGCGGAGCTGGGAGTGGCAGGGCTGGTTCCTTTTTTTTTCTCCAGCTCCTGGGGTCACAGGAAGGCCAAGCGACCAGTCTGAACCCCCCTGGGGGCCAGGGGAGAGGCCGGGCCCTGTCCCACGGGTCTCAGGTGCTTCCTCTTACGCACCAATCCCCAGAATCCCTGGCCCCCTTCACCCTCCCCAACCAACCACAGTCACTTTTTCAGCAGAGATCTCATGGCCAGTATTGACATGTTGGATATTATTAGCCCATTTTACAGAGGAGGAAAATCAAGGCGCAGAGAAAGTTAGAGAGAGGCCTCAGGTCAGAGACAGAAGTGGGAGACAGGAGGCATTCATCCCACACCCCACCCCTAGGATATGTAACCAACAGAGCAGTAATAATCTGCATCGTCCTCGGGCTGCACGGGGCTGATGATCAAGATGCAGGCATTTTGGGCTGCGTCTGTGGCTGCTGAGAAGCGGTCGGGGATGTCTGGGGACCGGTGGTGATCCTCCTTGGAGCGGTAGTAGAGGAGGTAGCGGGGGGCGCTTCCCGCCCGCTGCTGGTACCAGGACACGCCGTAGTCCCCGATGTTGGCGTGGCGGGGGTTGAGCATGCAGGAGATTTGGACCACTTGGCCTGGGAACACCAGCAGTGCATCTGGCTGGGTCAGTACTGGCTGGGAGACTGAAAGAGACAGACCTGCTCAGGCTTGGCCTGGGCCCCTATTCTCCCACTTCTGCCTTATGAAGACGTGGTCAGACTCCCAAACTAAACAACTCCTGTTCCTAGAGGGCTCGTGGCCTGGTGCCATGGGATGGGCACAGGATGGGGTACTGAGTTGGTGACTCCTAAAGCCCCATCAGTGCCATGTTCCCGAGGATCTGTGTTCAGTTGCAGGCCTAAAGTTTAAACGGTGGGACCGGTGGCCTCTTGCTCACTCCCACCCCTTGCCCTGAAGACCCCTATCCCCTCAGTCACACTGGCTCTTCCAAACCCTGGCTGCAGACTAGCCACCGCCAGGACGCTCTGGGCTGTACCACCCATCAGCTCAGCCTCAGGCAACTGGGTGCTGAGGACCTTCTTGGAGTTAGGTTGTTCCCGAGGCCCTGTGAGGTAGGGATCAGCCCACACCAGCTTCTCCTGTGAAAAACTCAAAAGGTCACCAGCTCCAGCCCCTTCTCAGACCCTAAAGCAGTGGTCGGCAAACTGCGCATGGGCCACGAAGTTTCAATCGCACTGTACGTGCGCGCCCGCACGTGGTATTTTGTGGTATTTTGTGGAAGAGCCACACTCAAGAGGCCAAAGAGCCGCATGTGGCTCGCAAGCCGCAGTTTGCCGACCAGGGCCCTAAAGAGTCAACGTTCAAAGGGACTCTAGTGATCTGGTCAATCAGAAATGGAGAAACTGAGGCGCACCCAGAGAAGTGACTTGCCCCAGGTCTAGGGCACAGCCATCCCCTCTGCAGCCAGTTCTCCCCTTCACCTCAGTGCCCCTTCCAGAACCTCCCGCTGCTCATCTCAATTTGCTTCTTTGCAGGGAGGGGCCTTCTGGAGCCAGTGCTGTCCCCTACCCCACCCCACCCCCAGGTGAGCCAGGCCCAGGGAGAGCTCACCTGCCAGGAGGGCTCCAACCAGAAGGAGGGCCAGGCACCACCAGGCCATGGCCAGCAGCAGCGAGGCAGGCGGGAGCCGTTCTGTTGGGTGTGCCCCAGGTGCTTCAGGGCACGGGCCTGGAGGCTACTGGACCACAACAGGGCATGCAAATCAGCCCAGTGATTGGTGGGGGAGGCAGGGGCTCGGGCCCACTGCCAGGCCCCATCTCCCCAAACGTGAGAGTCCTAACCACCCCCCACCCCCCACCCCCCAGGCCTTCTGAGAACAGGAGCCAAAATCCACACAAGTACTGAAGACACACCCCTCTGCACTTAGGCCATTTCTTCAGAACCTGGCTGCAGCCACCCCTGAGCTGTGTTCTGCAGGACTCGGGTCCCCAGACACAGTGGTGTCCCCGGAATAAAGTGCCCTGCACTTTAAATAAGTTTGGGGAACGCTGTCTGTTTGCACGGTATTGATCCTGAGCACCGGCTACTGCTGAGCACTGTAATGAGGCATCGGATTTAATCCTCACAGCTGTCCTGTTCTCACTCCCTGAGGATCATGCTTATTCCGAGGCGGACTGACCAGGCAAGCTGCGAGGATAGGAGGATCCGTCCTCCTCCTGCCTGGCCCCTGGCCACCCAGAGCTCTGACTGCCTAATCTTGGTGTGGGGGAGGGTGCAAGACATTTCTAAAACCTTGGGGAAAAGGGTGCTGGTGAAGGCTGGGCACCCTGGCTGGGGGGGTCTGCTGGGGCTCATGGAGAGGGGGCAGGAGACAGAACTGCAAAGAAGAGAAATGGGGGGTGATAAGGGAGAAGGAAAGAGACAGAATGATGACGTGAGAGGGAGAGGGAGAGAGAGAAAAAGTCAGAGAAAGGCAGATGGAGAGGCAGAGAAACTGTTCATGTGAGAACACAGAGAAAGAAAGAGAACCAGGGAGAGGCAGAAAGGAGTGGGAGAGAAGGAAAGATAAGTATGAGACCGGGAGAGACAGGAGGAGGAGAGAGAGAGAGCTGGTGAGAGGACCAGCCGTCAATCTGAGAGGCCTGGCCACAAACAGAAAGAGGGACGATGAGAAATGGTGCGGCCAGCCTGGAAAACATTGGCATTTTCTTGTCAAGTTAAGCATACTCTCATCATCTGACCCAGAACTTCCTCTCATGGCATTTATCCTAGAGAAATGGAAACTTCTAGTCACACTAAAACCTGTAGGTGAATGTCTATACTGGCTTTATTCATTATTGCCAAAAACTGAAAACAACCCAAAACAACAGCAGGTGAATGGATCAACAAACATGGTACAGAGTGGAGGTCAAGGTTCGATTCCCGGTCAGGGCACATGCCCAGGTTGCAGGCTCCATCCCCAGTGCGGGGTGTGCAGGAGGCAGCCCATCAATGATTCTCTCTCATCATGGATGTTTCTATCTCTCTCTCCCTCTCCCTTCTGCTCTGAAATCAATAAAAATATATTAAAAACAGCCCTAGCCGGTTTGGCTCAGTGGATAGAGCGTCAGCCTGCGAACTGAAGGGTCCCAGGTTCGATTTCGGTCAAGGGCACATGCCTGGGTTGTGGGCTGGAGCCCCAGTGGGGGACTTGCAGAAGGCAGCCAATCCATAATTCTCTCTCATCGTGGATGTTTCTATCTCTCCCTCTTCCTTCCTCTCTGAAATCAATAAAAATATATTTAAAAAACAAACAAATATGGTACGCCCAGACAATGGGACCCCCTTCAGTGATAAAAAGCAACAAACTGTGTATATAATATATATTATATATCATATATTTTTTCGAAGAAAGGAACTATTTTTAACTTTATTTTTATTGTTGACACTATTACAGATGTCCCCATTCCCCTCCCCCATTGCCCACCTCTACCCTGCCCCCAGCCCCCACTGTTATCTGTGTCTCTGGGTCACGCATTTGTTCTTTGGCTAATCCCTTTTCCTTCTTTCATCCAGTCCCCCTCTCCCAGAACAAACTCTTGATACATGGGCATGGGACAATCTGGGCGAATCTCATATACATCATGCTGAGTGGAAGAAGCCAGACTCAGAAGGTCCCATACTGTATGATTCCCTTTATAGGACTTTCTGGAAAAGGCAGTGGTTGCCAGGGACTGGAGTCGACTACAAAGGGGCGTAAAGAAATTGTGGGAAGTGTTGGAGATGTTCTGTATCCTGACTGTGGTGGTGGCTAGATGAGATTTGTCAAAACTCAAAACACTAAAAAGGGTGCATTTTACTGTATGTAAATTTTACCTCAATAAACTTTTTTTTAAAAAAAAGAACCTGGCGGTGTGGCTCAGTGGTTGAGTGTCGACCCGTGAACCAGGTCACAGTTCGATTCCCGGTCAGGGACATGCCCAGGTTGCGTGCAGGAGGCAACTGATAGATGACTCTCTCTCATCATTGATGTTTCTATTTCTCTCTCCCTCTCCTTCCTCTCTGAAATCAATAAAAAGATACTTTAAAAATAAGAAACCAAGGACAGAAGAAAAGGAGAGACTGGGAATGAGGAGGAAGACAGAGGGAGAGGAAAGTCGTGAGCCCAGGGAAGGGAGCTTTGAGTTGGAGGGGAGTCTGCAAGGTCGATGAGGACCCCATGCTTTGCCAGGGCCCCTGGCCAGCTGCCAGCTGCCAGATCACAGGGCCAGTGCCCCACCCCCAGGAACCTCCCCCACTTTCAATCTGGGAGCTGTTTCTACTTGTAGGAGAATGTGGTCTCTGGACATCCCTGGAAACCGAGGCTCCAGGCCCCGCTACAGCCCTGCCTCAGCTCCCGTTACCAGGAAACTGGGGGGAAGGCATTTCCTGCCTGGAGGTCTTGGCAGCTCCCACTGCCATGGAGACCAGCGTGGAAGCTGGGAGGGCCTCCGTCTCCTCCCACTGCGCTGCCCCAGCCAGCGGGAGGAAGAGGAGGCCAAGGGCCTGGACAACTGCAGGGGCCCAGCCCCAAGGATGGCCAAGTAGGGGCCTCAGCCTGGGCCCACCTACCCATCACCCACGGATCCACCCCCACACACTATACCTCCCAGCAGGGCCTGAACCCTGAATAGATCTCAGCCCCAGGCCCTTCCTTAGCTGGAAGTCGGAGTATCAAAGCCCCCACATCAGCCATGTTTATCACGGTGATGTTTGGAGGTAAGTGGGGTCCCCTGTCCCTGCAGATGGGTCAGGGAATGGTACACTCAGCTTGCTTCCCTCTGCCCAGGGGATGGGGGAAGCAGTGTGGAGAAGGGGATGGGGGGTTTGGGGAAGAAGCTCTGTGAGGAAGCAAAGCTAGTGCCTGGAGTGAGTGCCTGGAGGGGAAAACCCTGGCTGGGTACCTGGAAACTCACACCGCCCCTCTCCCAGAACACCTGCCCGGCTACCACGGAGGATGTTTTTAAACTGATGATTCCTTGGCTACTGATTCAGTCAGCGGTCCTCTAGATCAGGGTGCATCAGGCACCCGAAGCTCCAGCCACAGTTGCAGATTCCCAGCTCTCTGGTGGGAGGGAGTCCGTGGTGGGAGGGGGGCTGGTGCAGGCGGCTGTTTGGTGCAGGCGGCATGAGTTGTGCACCCATCACTGACATCTCCGGAGATGGGTGGGGGTGGGGTACAGTCCTGGTCCCGGCCCTGGTTAAGAGATGGGAGAGCCACTATGCTGTACACCTGAAACTAACCCAAAATAATATTGAATGTAAACTATAATTGAAAAAAGAAAAAAAGTTATTGCTTAGTGGGTATGTTGTTTATTTTGGGGGTGAAAATATTTTAGAAATAGCTATGCCCTGGCTGGCGTGGCTCAGGTGGTGGGAGCGCTGTCCCATGCACCAAATGATTGACAGTTCGATTCCCAGTCAGGGCACACACCTAGGCTTCAGGTTCGATCTCCAGTCAGAGCGCAGGCGGGAGGCAGCCCATCAATGTTTCTCTCATATATCGATGTTTCTCTTCTTTCTCTCTCTCCTCTCCCCTCTCTCTAAAATCAATAAGACATATTCTCAGGTGAGGTTTAAAAAACACACACACACAACAGCAGTGATGGTCGTACAACTCTCTGAATGTACTAAATGCCACTGAATCGTAGTTTGGTTAAAATGGTGGATTTAATATTATGTAAATTTTATCTCAATAAAACAAATCACTTAAAAAAGAGAGAGAAATGGGAGAGGCAGAGGGTCCCAGAGTGGGGGAAAGTAGAGGGTCCCGTTCACTCACCTCTGCCCCTCCCCCACAGCTGGCTGCCGGGAGCTGGTGAACCCGTGGTGCAGCCTGGTGACTCTCACTGCCCACCTACGGCAGAGGGGGCGGGTGCCTCCAGATGGTGAGGGGCAAGGAGGGGTGATGAGGTGGGGGGCCCAGGGCTGCAGACATGGGTACCAGCCCTGCCCTGCCTCCCTCCCTGCCCTCCCAGCAACCATCGCCCTCCTGGCTGAGGATGGGCACCTGGTGAGTCTGGGCAGTGACCTGGAGGAGGGGACTTCCCAGGCCCCCTCCTCCGGCAGCCCCCTGCTGCAGGAGCGTGGGACCTATGTCCTCGTGCAGATCATCAGTAAGTGGGGCCTACGACTTGCTCCCCTCCCCCTGCAGTTTTGTTGGAACGTAAGAGGGGGGACAGCCGTCCAGAGACCACCCAAGGCCCGACCCAGCTCCCCACTTTGGCCAAAACCTAGCCCTGACCCTTTTATCCAATAAGCTGTCCTGACCCCAGCCTGAGCCAGTGAGAAGTAAGGGCCAGTCAGGAGTCATTCCTCCTCCGCCCACAGACGGGGAGGGCGGGGCCCCCACTCGCTATGAGTCCCTCCTGGAGAACCTGGATGACCGGTGTCCAGAGCTGGCAGGTGAGTGTCATGGCAGAGCCCTGGGGTGGGGAAGTAGCATCTTCTTCCAGCCCCGACAGGCAGGGCTTCCTGGGCCTTGCAGAGGCGCTGCGCCGGCTGTCGGGCCTACCCCCCCTGGGCAACAGCCGGAGGAGACGTACTGGCACTCGTACCGGCACTCGGCGTGGCCACCAGGACCAAGGCCCTCCTTCGAGGTCCCAAAGGCTGGGCTCCCTGCTGTCCAGGCCCCGCTAGCGGGGGCCAGAAGCCAGGTAAGGAAGAGACATGGATACCTGGGGGGACATTCACACCCAAAAGTGGGACCCTTTCCCACGAGACAGACATGTACTGAGAGAGGTGAACAGGCCCCCAATCTCAACCTCCATCACTACACACATTTGCCTGAAAGACTGAACACACTGTACCCAGAGGCGGGCACTCTCCACCCCACTGGAGTGTAAGTACCCAAGGGCAAGAACATCCTCCGTGCCCAGGAGACGTGGCATCGGGCCTGGCATTCAGTAAATGCCCGAGGCAGAGCTGCCAAATGAATTCCCAGAAGGCAACAGCACAGCACGTGTGATGGGGCTTGTGATAGACTTGTGCTCCGCTGTTCCAGCAGCCCCGTGACGAGGTGCACCACAACCCAGTGGCCCAGCTGGACTCAGATCCAAAGGGGCTGGCCGTGACCTCTGCCTTGTGTGATCAGGCCCAGACAGACAGCAGCCCAGCAGCATTCCTCTTACGAAACCTGGAATTACTGAGTTGTATCAGCAAGAGGAGCAAGGTCACAGACAGGCTGTGAGGCTGCTGGGGGGGCGACCCCTCCGATGTGGGTGCAGAGGCAAGAAAGGTGGAGGGGCAGGCATCCCTGGGAGAGTAGACAACTGGGAATTCCAGCTCCCAGAGCCGGACGCCTTTTAGGTCACCTGCTAATGCCTCACTGCCCGCTCTGACGGCTCCAGGCTGTGGGATTACCACAGGGCTCCTCTCTTCCCCCCCAGGAGGCAGCTCGGTGACTCATCCACCCCACCTCTTCCACCACCGTGCTCCCGGCAGACAGGCCAGTGAGACGGCACACAGCAGGCTCTGGTCTAAGATAAACTTTTAATTGCACATTTGTGTCTCTGGTCATCTATGGGGTGAGGAACCCACAAAAATCCTAACTACATGGGTACATTCTGGCGTTTTGGTCTGGCTGTCGGTGAAGGGGTGGAGTTGAGTGCAGAGCTGGACCCAAATCTGCTCCAATCCGCACCACGGTGCCCGGTCTCTTCAGGGCAGGGAGCTCAGACCTGTGGAGGGCGGGGTGGTACCGGCCGGCGGTCAGCCCCACGGTATAGGGAGAGGGGATGTCCCTCCCAGCCCCCGCCTGGGGTGGGGGGCCACTCGCTCACCGTGGTTGTATTTGCACTGCTTCAGGGCCTCGCTGAAGCCCTCACACAGGGTCAGGTCTCTCTGAGTGGTGGAGCAGTCCAGGAACTGCTTGATCTCATAGGCGCAGGGCCCCATCTGCAGGGGCTGGGAGGCGGCTCGGGCAGGGGCCTGCGGTGGGTGGCGCAGGAGGCAGGGAGGTCAGCTCAAACTTGGTAATGAGAAGTGGGTGCCAAAGCTGGGTGCCCCCTCCCGCTCCCCACAACCCCAGCCTGAGAGCCCCAAAGCTCCAGGCAGGCTGACCGACCCAGGGCCAGCAGACTCAGCTGCTCCATCTGTTACACAGGGTGAGCCCCAAGCTCTCTCAGAGCCACTCAGCTGATGCCTGACAGCGTCTCCCTGCTGCCTCACAATGGGCACGTGGGGCAGGTGGCAGGGGCAGGAGAAGAATATGGAAAAGCCCAGTGAGAATGAGCCCCACCCCCACAAGTTCTAGCAATTTCCTGGCTCAGCCACACTGATCCCCATGACCCCTGACCCTGCCACGAAATCTGCATTTGGCCCAGGGCTGGTGGGGTGCCCAGTGGGTGACGGGTCAGCAGGGAGCAGGCCCCAGAGTCACCCGCTACAGTGCCTGACGTAGGATGGGGAGCGAGGAGACTCGGGAATTTCCACATCCCTCCTTTCTCCTGGCGTCAGGTGACCTTGGGCCCTAAGGTCACACGTTTCCCCATCTCTAAAGGGCTGGTTGGCCTCTGTCCCGGGGAGCCCAGGGACCTTGGCCTGAGGGGAGGGTCGGGGAGGGCCAGCCTGTGAGCCATAGGAGGGCAAGAGCGGAGTGAGAAAGAGGACCCTGGTGGGGGCAAAGTCCTGGGCCTGAGGCAGCTCAGGAAATGCCTGGACACAACTCGGTGGCCATTCCAGCTGGACTCCCTGCTCTGTGGCCTCGGTTTCTCGGGGCCCCGTTGCTCACCTGCTGAGCGGCAGGCTGGGCGGGCTCTGAGCTCCCCCCGCTGAAGGCTCCAGTCAGGGCGCTGCCCATGACATGTCCGACAGCCGAGCCCACGGCGACCCCAGCGGCCGTGGACGCCATCTGCGCCATCAA